TGTGCAGGCAGGAAGCAAAGACTTCCCAGCTGGGCTCCATTTAAAATTGAATTTTAATCTCCTTTCATCTTGCAAAGGGAGCAGCGTGGCCCGGAGATGCTGCTGCCACAGCCTTGAGACTGATTTGTATTGTACTGCAGGGCAGATTCATTTCCTCCCAGGAACACAGCCCAGCACAAAACAAAAAGCCCAACCACTGAAAAACAATCGGATCCCAGCGGGATCGAGCTGTCTGCTCTGTGGAGAGGACAGCTCTTCCCCTTCCCTGCTTACATGGAAACAGACCATCAACTAGGTTGGAAAAGACCTTTAAGATCAAGTCCAACCTTTACCCCACACCTCCTGCTCTGGGCATTTTCCCTCTTCTCCCACCCCAGTGGGTGTCAGAGCCCGCAGGACACAGGGAGAGGGATGTGTTTTGCGCTGAGCCCAGGCTCAGAGGTTGAAGGGAGCATCCCTGTACCTGTGTCATTTCCAGGGCGTTCATCACAGCTGCAAAGCCGAACATGTTCCCCATGGTGCTCTTCAGCTCGGCAGCCAGCTGGATGGTTTTGTGGAGCAGGGCTGCCCGCTCCTCCGTGCTGCCCGTGCAGCCCAGGATGTCCACAGCGATCATGATGGACATGGTGTGAAACCTGCCATGGGGTGAGACGCAGAGCGGGGTCAGCGCGGGGGGACCGGGGATGCTCCAGGGCTCCTCCACCCTATGAGGTGCAGAGGACTCCCCTGTGCCAAGCTGGGGACACCCCAGGGGAGCCGTGCCGTGCTGTACCGTTCCAGCAGGTCGAGGCGGAGCTGGTGGCCGTGGGGCAGGGTGAGCAGCTCCATGCCGGAGCTCACCCCCATCATCCGCCGCATCTCCGCCGTCACACCCAGTATCCGTGCGACCTGGCAAGAACGGTGAGAGCTGATTAGACCTGTGTTCATTGAGGAGAGGCTGAAGCAGCCTCTTGCCCCAGCACAGCCTCTGCCTGCCCTGGCTGCTACAGGGCCGAGCCCCGCAGGAACGCTCCTTTTTTTTTCAGCCCAGAGCAATGGGAGGGCAGCGGCGCCCGTCCCCCGCCTCTGGCCCCAGCCGTACCAGGCAGTCCACTTTGGTGATGTGTTTGGCCAATGTCTTCACGTCCACCTCTGCCAGCAGCTCTTTGACCTTCTTGAGCACAGCCATCTCCAGAGGTTTGTTCTCCAGGGGGATAAGCAGGGACTGGAAGGCTGCGGGGTTGAAGGAGGAGGTTGTCTCCATGGTGGGGGGCACAAAGCCCACATAGTCCAGCTCTCCTTTCAGCCTCTGCGCTGCCTCTGCTTCCCTGGAGCCGTTCTCTATAGGACCTCTCTGTACTTCCTCCAACTTTAGCACATCGAGTTACCGCTTGGCGC